CTATGGACTAATGAACACAGGTGCGGTCCGACCGCTATCGAGCCGGCGTTGAGGGATCTTGTTTCTTGTAGTAGCTCGAGAGCTCGTGAGTAGGATCGCAGGGATATCTTTTCTCGCTCGCACCGGATCGGTTACGCGTGGATGAAATTGCGGAGGGCCGGGCACAGAGAAAGCATGATAGCAGCGCTTGAGGAAGCCAAGGATAAATATAGAGCACGAGAGTCCGGGTGCGGTGAAAAGAGAAGGGAAGAAAATCACAGCGAGTAGGCGCCATGGCTCGACCCCGAGTCGAACGGGTGTGTGTCCCTGCAGGTATTGAATGACCAATACCGAGCTTCACTAGTATATGCAGGCGCGGTCCGACCGCTATCAAGCCGATACTCAGGAAGTTTGATTCTTGTACGAGCTCTGGAGGTCGGTGAGCAGGATGCGCTGATATTGGGGTGGCTCGCGAGGGATGAGTGTTGTCCGTGGATAGCAAGGATCGTAACACTAGGAACCCGAGGATAATATCGAGGACGAGAATCCATGTGCGGTGAGAAGTGAAGGGGAAAAAAAATGACCACGATATCCACAGCATGGCTTGAACCCGAATCGAACGGGGGCGTGTCTCTTCAGGATCTTGTAAGGATCATGAATAAATGAATGCAGGTGCGGTCCGACCGTCATCAAGCCGACGTTGACAGATTCCTGTTCTTGTCGTAGCCCTAGAGTCGGTGAGCAGGATGCGGGGATATCGAGGTGGCTCGCGGGGGGGTGAGTGTTGTTTTCCGTGGATAGCAAGAACGATCGTAACATTAGGAATCCAAGGAGAATATTGAGCATGAGAATCCCGGGCGGGGAAAAGAAAAAACAACACGATTTCCGGTCAAGGCCCGACCCCGAGTCGAACGGGTGTTCCTGCCGCGTATTTTATCTGCGGGTTAATAAACGCAGGTGCAGTCCGACCGCTATCGAGCCGATATTGAAGTATTTCGGTTGTTGTATTTTCTCCAGTGAGCAGGCTGTAGGGATATTGATTATCGCGCGCTGGATGAGAAATATTCAAGCTAGCCCAGAGAGCCGAACTGTGAGCAAGGACGATCGTAACGATCGTTGCTGCATCTTGACTAATATGGCGATCAACAAATGAACAGCCGAGCCGATAGCCAGGAACCTTGGTTCTTGTACTAGTTCTAGACTTCGGTGGGCAGGGTGCAGGGATAGCAGTGTTCCCTCTGATGTTATCCGTGGATAAGTATCATAAACTATTGCAGAGAGACGAGCGATCATAGGGCTTGAGGAACCCGAGGAGAAGCACCAAGACAAAAAATCCATGCGCTAGAAAAAACAGAAAGAAACACAAACTTTAACCATGGCTCAACCCCAAGTCGAACGGGTGCGTGTCCCTGCAGTGTATTACAAGTGAATGGATTAATGTGCGCAGGTGCGGTCCGACCGCTATCGAGCCGACATTGAGGGATCCTGGTTCTTCTACGAGCTCTAGACTAGAGGTCGGGGATATCAGTGGTGATGAGTTTGGTAGAGGCTGTAAGGGTTCTTGCCCAAGTGCGGTGGAAAATGAAATAAAAAATTCCTATCAAGGGCCATGGCTCGACCCGAGTCGAACGGAGGTCCCTGCTGCGTCTTAAATAACACCTCCAAAGAATTAAGGAACGTAGATGCAGTCCGACCGCTATCGAGCCGATACTCAGGAACCTTGGATCTTGTATGAAGTCGAGAGTTCAGTGGGCATGGTGCAGGGATATTGGGGTAGCTCGCGGGGGGTGGGTGATGTCGTCCGTGGATAGCAGGAACGATAGGAGCAATTTAGGAAACCGAGGAGAATATCGAGGACGAGATTCCATGTGCTGCTGGAAAAAAGAAAAGGAGCTTGAAAGGATGTCCATAGCTCGACCCCGAGTTGAACGGGTGTCCCTGCAGGTATTGAATGGCCCGCCGAGCTTCACTAGTAAATGCAGGTGCGGTTCGACCGCTATCGAGCCGACGCTAATGAGCGTCGGATCTTGTATTTGCTCTAGAGTTCAGTGAGCAGGCTGTAGGAATATTGGTCGTCGCGCGCTGGATGAGATATTCGTAAGCTAGCCGACCTGTGAGCAAAAACGATCGTAGCGCTTGACGAACCCGAGGGGACACATCGAGCACTGGAGAGTACATGTGCGTATGGATAAATAAAAAAATCACTTCCTACCCATGGCTCGACCCCGAGTCGAACGGGGGTCACTGCCGAGTATTGTACAATGTATATGCGGGAGGTCATTCAATGAACGCAGGTGCGGCCCGGCCGCTATCGAGCTGACGTTGAGGTATTTCGGTACTTGTGGTTGCTGTAGAGGTCGGTGGGCTATCAGTGCAGATCAGTGCTGCCAGGCTCGAGCGGGATAAGTCATCCGTGGTACTGGGCTGTGAGTGTAAGAGAGCCGAGCTAAGAGCAAGAAATATAGCAGCGCCTGAGGAGTCCAAGGAGACACATGTAGCAAGAACATCCATGGTGAAAAGCGAAGGGGAAAAAAATGACCGCCAGTCGGCAGCATGCCAGCTCGACCCCGAGTCGAACGGGGATCCCTGCTGCGTATTAGCGACCAAATTTGTGTAATAAATGCAGGTACGGTCCGACCGCTATCGAGCCGATGTTGAGGGAGATCTAGGCTCTTGACTCGAGCTGATGAGAGAAACATCGCCAGCGGGTCACACGTGTGACCGTTACAGGCTCTTTTCGGCTTACCACGACGATGGCCGGGGCGTCGCGCACGGAACTGCTGCAATGGCTGAACGACCTGCTGCAGATCAACTACACCAAGGTCGAGCAGTGCGGGACCGGCGGCGCGTACTGCCAGGTCATCGACTCGATCTACCTCGACGTCCCCATGGCCCGCGTCAAGATGGCCGCAAAGCACGAGTACGAGTACGTCGCCAACTACAAGATTCTCCAGGGCGTCTTCAAGGCGAAGAAGATCGACAAGCCGATCCCCGTCGAGGGGCTTATCAAGTGCAAGATGCAGTGCGTTCGTCCCATCTGCGTGTGAGCGCGCGGCTGATCAGATTCTTGGGGGAAGGGACAATCTCGAGTTCCTGCAGTGGTTGCGCAAGTTCTGGGACGGGAACTATGCGGGGGGCGAGTACGATGCCGTCGCGCGGCGGAAGGGCGTGCCGGCCGAGCCGCCCGCGACGCTGGCGCCCGCGCGCGGGGCCACAGCGGCCGGTGCGCGGGCGGGCGGGCGGACGCCTGTCGGCGGCGCGCGCGTGGGTGGGCGCACGCCCGTTGGGCACCGTGCGGCGACGCCGAACGACGCGATCGTGCAGGCACTGCAGGGGCAGGTGCGCGAACTCTCCGGTCACATCGAGGGCCTCGAGAAGGAGCGCGACTTTTACTTCGAGAAGGTGCGTGCTGCTCTTTGCGTGAGGCTGGATGTTAATCTTGGGGCCGCTGCAGCTGCGCGACATCGAGATTTTGGCGCAGCAGAGGATGGAGGCGCTCGAGGCGGCGGGCTCGGATGACGAGACGCTGCGCGAGATCCAAAAGATATTGTATAGTACGGAGGTGCGTTTCTTCCTTCATTTTGTGTTCCCCTTCTTGTCCTTCCGACGTACATCGGGAGTTTCCTACGGCCTCTCAGGGCGCCAATTCCGCGGATCCTTCCATGGCCTTCCACGATGTTCGCTCGCGTCTTCAGACACATTTATCCCCGCCCCGCGTCGACATCGCGCACGATCGGACCGATCGCTGTACGGCCATGTCGTCCGTCCCTCCGAATGCGTCTACATTCATCCCATCGACGACAACCCCCATTCCATGCCACCTCCCACTTCATCCCTCCTATATCCCCTCCCCTTCTTTCTCTCCTTAATACTCTTTCTCGTCTTTCCTTCGTTCCACCCCCCTTCTTTTTCCTTCCCTTCCCTTATCCCTTCCCTTTCTTTTTCTTCCCCCGTCCTTCGCCCCACCGACACGCTAACGCCCCCCAGGAAGGCTTCGAGGTCCCCGAGGGCGAGGGCCAGGCGGTCGACGAGGAGGAGACGTTCTGATACTACCTCCACACTCACACTGACATTCACATTCACCTGTGCCCGCGAGGTGCACGTTATATCGGCCCTCGTTCCTCGTTCCGCGGTTATCCCCAAAATCATCGTGGCCCGCGTCATATTTCCTGGTTACTTCCTTCCTTGCGTGTTTAGTTTAAACACACGCACCTCACGTTCCTTCCGTTTTATGCCCTGCGCTCCCCTGTTCTCGATCCTACATACATAGATCGTAGTTAATACTCGTCTTGTTTCGTTCGTGTTTCGTGTTTCGTGCTTCCTCCTTCGTGCCTCGTCCCAAGCCTTTTCCTGCGCCCGGCCGGCATAATGTGTAATGTTGGTCTGGATCTCTACAACAGTGTTCGACGTCGGGCATCTCTGCACTCCTCTCGTACATTACAGACACGCCACCAATACGAGCGCGAAGACACGTCAACAACACACGTTTGTTGGGTCGAAGAAAAAATTGTCACGTTACCCGTTCATGGCTCGGGCCCGAATCGAACGGGCGACTTCTGCTGCACATTCCAAATTGCACAATACAGCGCAGACGCGGACCATCCGCCACCGAGCCTTTCCAACGCTGTTGACTTCTGACTTAGATGGGACTCGTAGAACGCGAGTTTATGGGGCGAAGATATCAGCCACATTGTAACTGAATTCAACCATTTGGCACGGGTCAATCATTCGAGGCACGCTCGGGCCGAAATCGATCAGCAACGTTCCGCTGAATACGTGTATGCCGCTTGCAAAGAAAGTGCGGATGCGGTCCGCCACCAAGCCTTTCCAGTCCTGTTTTACGTCCCTATCGCAACCTCACCCACACGTTCATTCCCTTGACTAAGCTCAACCGCTCGGGTTCATTCCGCATATCCGTCTCGAAGCTCAGGCTCCGCCTCAAAATATTCAGCCGCCTCCTCCCTCTGAAATCAGCAGTCCGCCGTGCAAAGAAAAAAAGGCTGCATCCTTCAAATACTCTATGGCTCGGGCCCGAATCGAACGAACGACTTTTGCTGCACAGTTTAGACAGGTATACAGTGCAGACGTGGACCATCCGCTACCGAGCCTTTCCAGCCCTGTTCTGAGTTGGAATAAGGGGGCAAGTTTCTGAGACAAAAATATATCGAGTCCATGCACATTCCCTTGATTTCGGCCACTTTAAATTCGCACTGTTCCCTTGATCCCGACCGCTTGGTGTTTAGCGTCCTCGCGACGATCTCCCAATTTAATTCCCGTGGAAGGTCGTCGCCGTGCCATATAGAAAAAGGTTACGCAAATCCTCTATGGCTCGGGCCCCAATCGAACGGGCGACTTCCGCTGCACGTCCCGTTTCCTTCAAGCATACAGTACACACGCGGACGGTCCGCTACCGTCGTACCGAGCCTTCCAGTCCTGCTCTGACTTGGAATAGGTAGGCAAGTTTCTAGGGCGAAAATATATCAAGCCCATCCACATTCCCTTGATCTCAACCATTCAGCTTCATTCCGAAAATCCTCAGTCTCGAAGCTTAAGCTTCGCCTCCTCCCTCTGAAACCAGCAGTCCGCCGTGCAAAGAACCCGAAGAACAAAAGATTACATCCTGCACATCCTCTACTATGGCTCGGGCCCGAGTCGAACGAGCGACTTCTGCTGCACGCAGTCTGAACAGATATACAGCGCAGACGCGGACCGCCCGCCACCGAGCCTTTCTTACCCTCTTCGGAGTAGGAATAGGGGGGCAAGTTTCTGGGGCGAAATATATCCACATTCCCTTGATCTCGACTGCTCGGTAACCGCGGCTCCTCCACATGACTCATAATTTAATTCCTGTCAAAAAATGGGTGGTCGCCGACGACTCGCCGTGCCGTGAAGAAAAAGTCTGTAGACGAATCGTCTATGGCTCAGACCCGAATCGAACGAGCGACTTCTGCTGCAAAGCTCTTCTCACTGAAGCATATAGTGCAGACGCGGACCATCCGCCACCAAGCCTTTCGAGCCCTGCTCTGAGTTGGAATAGGGAGGCAAGTTTCTGGGGCGAAATATATCCAGTCCATCCACATTCCCTTGTCGACCACTTGGTGTAATCGCGGCTCCTCCACACGATCTCCCGATTTAATGCCCGTGGAGAACGACTGCCTGCTTTTATATCGCGTGCACTCATTTGCTGCGCACGACGCGCCAGTTCCGCGAGGCAGCGGAGCACATCGTGCTCATCGCAGCCCTCCTTGGACTCTTGAAAGACGGGGGAATCAGACGGGACGGCGAAGACGGCGAAGACGCATTTGAGCTCTCCTTCGCTGGCGAAATCTTACGTGAACTAGGAGGGTGAGCCGATCCTTGCTGAAACAATGTGCCTGCTAAATGGAGATCGGCGCAGCGAGACTCCCCCCATCCCTCCGGGGTATACCTACAATGAGATCACATTCAGGTTGGACGCGGATCCAGAATACATCAAAGACGATTCCTTCTTGACCGAGCTCGCGGCGCGAACAGGAGGGGATGATACGCCTGTGGTCGTTGGCTGGGCGCCTCGAAGCGGATCGCATCCTCAGATCACCCGGCGGAATGTCGCTGCTCCTCAATGGCGGAGGCTACGGCGCATTCGAGGATCCAAGCCAGTCTAGGGTATGGGAGACTGTGGGCGGCGCTCCTGCGTTGCGGAGAGGATAAGACGTTTGGCGAATGGGGCCCGGAGGAGACGCGCGCGTATAAGAACATTGCGAAGAAGATCGCGTGGATGAGAGGGTGTCGTGGGAGGGACGCAGGCGGTTTGCGGTACGCGCGGTTCTTCCTACCGTCACAGCATTCTTATTGCTCGTGTAGCTTCTTTTGGAGGAGCTCGAGAAGGAGATTTGACATTGATTCGTACGGGGTTCGGGGTCACCGACACTTGTCGGTGTACAGCGTCCTTTATACAATGCGGAGCGTCGGTACTCTGATTCGGCAGGAGAACCATGCTTCTCCTACATCGCCCCGAAATGGAAAAGCCAACATGCGAAGGGGACGCAATAGCTTGTAAGACGATCGATCGACTTGCATATGCGTAAGGCTGGTTCCAGGAAGAATAATATTAGTCTCGCCTGACACATGGGCAGTTTACTGCGGAGAGGAAGGTAAGCACCATGTTACATCCCGTATCTGGGTCTGGAACGCCCGCGCGGAAGTACAGTCGTAGCGCCCTGAGCTTAAAGAATATATAAATCAGAGGCATGGCTCAGGAACTTCCCTCAATGTCCTCCTCATCCAGCTACGAGGACGTTGAGTGAAGTTATGTTCTACGTGGACCATTTGACGGCGAGCTTACATGTCTATCTCCTTTCCTTGAGGTCGAAGCTTCCTGGGAATTGACATCCCGATGATCGAAGTATAATCGGAGCGGGAAGCGACTGAGCTGAGCCGCTCGATACACGCGGGTCCATCGCATCGGAAAGACCGGACGAAATGAAAAATATGGGAGTATGATGCGGGGCGTTAGGATCGGCGTGATGATGTGCAAGAGCAACGCAGAACTGCAGGGGAAGAGATCCGCGGAATGGACAGTGAAGCTCTGCCACTTGTTTTACTGAAATCCGTTAGGTGTAATACTGGGACATTATAATCGCTGATTTCATCCAAAACACAGGTGTTCCACAGAAATTACACAGGTGTTCTCCCGAATTACACAGTCACAACTTGGGAAATTTGTGACTTTATGTAACACCATTCTGAACTATGCACAGATTGAACACACAGAAAAGCAATACACCACAAAATTACAACGTTAACGTGTGGATCTTTGAGCCGGCTGTGATCGCTGCCCGTGATTCCATCATTCCGGGTCTTTCGGCAAACAGCAGACCAATTCAGGCCGCGATTTTAATTTAGACGGGACGGGTTATCACATTCCACCTGTGCATTGCATTCTCTGCCCTCTAATTCCGTCCAAAGCAGGGCTTATTTCTGTTCTATTTCGGGCCTCGGCAGCTAGGCCTAATTAGTGTTGCCATCAATCCCATCAGGACTCCAAGTCTTACCAAATAGGGAAATTCAATATTCTCCTGTTTCAGTGTGCTCTTAGCACAGAGAAGCTGTGGTGAAATCCTTGCAAACTAGGAAACCTGGGTCGCAACTTGTACGGGTGAAATTGTCGGGACGTGTGCAAAACCTGTTCATGGGGTGCGTAAATTTTGATGCAGGAATGCTACAGGAATGCCGACTTGTGTATAAACCTCGGGAGTGGTGTAATTTTTGGCCAAAGGAGGCTGGCTATTTTCCAAATCATGTCTGACTATTACAGCCATACGTGCACTCCCACTCGCGAGCGATGTTCCAGAAGCCCGAACGGTAACTTGGCGCGCGCTAGCCCTCCAAAATGTTGAATCTTATGTAATTTAAATTTCGCTTGTGGTAATTCTTAGTATCAGTCAGTCCTTTGGTTGTGGGGCAGATGTGGCCGCTGCGCAACCTCCCCTGGTATAGAGAGATATAGGAAACGCGCCATCATTACGGGTTATCCCTAAGCCATTTGCGCCACCAATTTCAACATTCACCCATGATGTAAATAAATATCAGATGCGTGCGATAGATGTAGCGGTATTATTCGACAGCAATGAGAGAGTTTTTGTGCCAGTAGATAAATTGTGGACGTAACAGGAAGCAAGAAAGGACAGTAAGGTACACACGTCGGAGCGGACAGCTAATTAGTGCCGCGGTCTCGAACGGGTTGGGTACGCTTGAGGCGGGTCATACGGACGGTCTGGATTGTACACGGGGGTGCTCGCACCGTGCGGGTGAGGATGAGGGTACATCGGGCCCTCTGGGACATCGAAGGCCGGCCGGCCCCAGCGCCAGCCGCAGAGAGATGAAGGGGGCGGTACATGCCCCGTGGCTTAGATCTGCTCCGCTTGAAGAAGATGGCGCTGAGGATGAGGAGCAATAGGCCGCCGCCAACACAGGCCGCGATGATGATGTAGAGAGTTCTCGACTTCGAGTTATCATCGCCGCCGTCGTTGTCCGGAGGACTCGTGTTATTCGCGTTGAAGATGTTAATGGTGGTGTCGGTGCCGTTCAGGCGCGCTTGCACGAAATCCGCGTGCGCTAGGACGCGGTTGATCTCAGGACGTGTAAGATACAAGGCACTTGAACATACTGTACCTTCCGCTGGGTCCGTTGTGGAGAAGAACTGGATGTACGGATCCGCCTTGCCCTTCGAGTCCGCAATAAAGTCACCGAAATTAATCAGAGTGTAAACATTGCGGACTGCGAGTCCGACGGATCAGCAGGGCCAGAAAAGGCGTAATTTACACAGCACGTACGGAAGGCCATGCCAAAGATCATGTCGTAAGTAGCACTGCCCTGGTCAAAGGAGAAGGGCTGGAACTGACAACGCGATCGTATTAGGGAGGATCCGACGTCGAGGTCGCAGACGTACTAGCCCAATGCAAGAGTTGACTCCGGCGGAATTCTCACGAGGTGGCAGACTAAAGATTGACGGTTCCCTGAGACGACATCAGCCGGGGAAAATCCTGGTAGTTGGAATAATAACGCACATAGTAGCATCGAGGGGGTGCACTGGGTACGCGTTCCCACCGAACACGAGCGTGATATTGACTTCCTGGGTGCATGGCACAATCCAAACCTTTCCCCCCAGGTCGTCGACGAGCTCTGCGCCGGTGAATTGACTGTAAATTGCCGACGCCACAGAGCTGCGGTAGGATATAAGAACCAAATCCGCAATGGCAGAAAAACCTTTCACGTAGGGACTTGCGGTAAGGAAAACCCAGTGTCGATGACGACCGTTGCCCGCTTTTTGTTTGACGTCGAGCTCACCTGCGACGCAATTGGGATGGAGCTGCCGTTAGGACCAATGAAGCCGTTGCCGTCGAGCAGTATCTGGAAGTGCTGGTTCCCCTTGTTGAACAAGGATACCTCCGTCACGGGAAGTTTTGGGTGGTTCGTGACGTTCGTGCAGTTAGGCAGCAGCTCCCCGACAGTGAGGTCCCCTGGGAATACATCTGTTGGATCTGCCCCGGACTTTGGTATTGAAGGGCGGATATTGGTGGAACGGCTCACCATTTAGACGGCCCAAAAGGAAGGTGATGTAGTTCGGCGTAGACGTATTCTGAATGAAAATATTGTCCAGCGGCGTGTTCCCTTGATCCTCCTCATCAAACGTTTCAAAGATCACCGAGTTGGAACTGGGCCCGAGGCTAATCCGGCCTTCTCCTTCGGGTGGTCGCTATCCGGCGAAACCTCGACTGGACTGAAATGAGAACGGAGGGCGGATACGGGAAAGTTATGTAAACGCACTGAATGCCTGCTTAGCCACGGTGTGCCCTGCAAAAACTACTGGGGCCGTCTTGACAGGCCCAGTTGAACTACCCACGGCATAGGATATCGTGGCCGACTTCCCTGACGCCACAGCGCCTGGGACAGATCCGGATACCCAAAGGTCAGAACTATCGGGCGCATAAATATAAACATGGCATTATGGTACGATGTTTCTACCTTCCAGTGTCGATCTGAACGCGAAAAGAGACACCGCCGACGGTGATGTTCGTGCCGTAGTTGAGGTCGGCTGAATCGTCAAGTGGGGAGCTTCCTGTGAGGCTACCTCGCTTGAAAAGCCCTCGGCGGTCTGCCGGGATCCGGCGACCTTCAAAGTTGAGTCGTAGAGCACATCCAAAGTCGGTCAGAAGGAGGAAGAAAATGAGGGAAGCCGGCAAAAGCATGCTGAAGAAAGGGGCGGAGAAGAGTATGGACACGGCGGGGTCCCGATGAAATATGCCACTGAGGAGGCGGTGCGCTTGCGGACAGCGGGGCTCACTGATGATGTGAGTGGGATCACGGAAATCAAGTTGCAACTGCCACTGAGCGTGCGGTAATGACTCCTCTTCTGCACCTGAAAATACCTGCAACCTCCCAGGTCAGGATAGAGGTAATAGGGTGTTTCAGAATTAGATATTTCAGTCTCAACTTGAGCCTCAACTTGACCCCAACTTGGCCCCAAC